TAGAAAGTGTTGAGTTATATTTCTCTCGCGCTACTTTACATCCATGAAGGCAACATGACAGAGGGAGGGCTGTCACTCAGGATGCAAAACTACTCTTTGGTAAGCCCCGCCCCCCCCCCCCCCCCCCCAAGCAACATCAGGGCCAAAAGTTTGAAAGCGAAAAAAAACGGTGAAACCTGAAAAAACAAGATTTGAAACTGAAAAAATTATTATTTTGAATCTGAAAACGGAAAATCTGCAACTGAAAAAAAGAAGGATTCAAATATCAAAATATATATAAAAGGAGTGGAGCTGTCTTTTTATGAAAAGTAATTAAGCTCGCTCCGACTTCTTTCTCTCTTTTTTTATCGAAAAAAGCGAACTATTCAGTCAGACAGCAATTTATTATAAAAGTAAAGCAAGTACAATTTCAAGCACTTTATCCAAAATTCAAGCACTTTAACCAAAATCCAAGCACTTTATCCAAAATCCAAGCACTTTTCAAACCTTGAAAACACCACATGAAATTTCAAGCATGTTCAAGTATTTCCAGCACCCGTACGAACCCTGTTTTTAAGACCCCGCAGACACCCTGTTAAAACAACTTTAATTTAAATCTTCAGTGGATGCCTCCCTTTCAGTGGCAAGAGACACGACTTAACCACAAATTAAAAAAGCCTAACAAATATGGATTGAAGCAGAATACAAAATCAAAAACATGTAATTTTTGGAAATGCTTATTCCTATTTTTCCAATATTATTTGTTTTACTTTTGGTCTTCATGCTGCAGTTATTGGAAATCACACATTTGGTTCACACCCATCACTGGAAAGCCCCATGAATGATAACACAACCACACAAACACCTGAATAATAGGTATTTTTTATTAACAGACATCATGAAAATGTCGACAGTAACAAAATTGTTTTAGTCCATTAAAAAAAAAGTGGGTTTGGATTGACAAGACTCCTCCCACAAAATAACTTAATGAGGGGGAGGGTAAAAAGAAAGGGGGGGGGCGGTTGTGTTCCGACACGTAAATGTATCTGATATCTCCTTTCCTTGTATTTTACTCATCTTAATGCGTTAGTAAAGACCGGCTTACAGCAGCTCAGTCCCATGTGACCCTCAGACCCAACCCTGTCGAGGAAAGGGGAATATCCGACACATTTCACACAGTATTAAAATGGGGGCATGCCACTAAGCAGGATCAGAGTTCCTGAATGATCTGAAAAACACTTCAGAGATGAGAGAGAAAGAATATCTGACTGCACGGTTACGTTTGTCTTTGTTCACTACCACACAAGCCACACACACCTACGTTTCGTGTTTCACTGGCATCATTAAAAAGGGATGGTTTGTGTTTTAAAGTAGGGTTGTATAAAAGTGTATTACCTACAGTAGATGACGATGTTTTCTCTGCTTAACCTTGCCGTCAAACGAGGATCCAAAGCATTTTTTGATGCTCTCGCCAAAGCCAGACGCCATTGATAAAAGCAGTGATTTTATAAATCGCAGAACAAAAGGCGTTGCTGTTCTTCCTCTATCAGTTAGTTATTTTGTGTAAATCGTGTGACGTCAGTGAATCCAAACTAACTATTTTAAACACCAAAGTCACAAAATAGCACCAAAAAAAACGTACTAATTGAGGCAGCAGAAAGCGAGAAACTTCTGTGTTCAGCGATGTAAAATAACTGGTTTCTGACAATGGAGTTTGGTGGCTTTTAGAGAGCAGTTACTGTCGGTCATACCTGAACTATGGATATGCATACAACCCACACACAATCTGAACTATCCCTTTAAGTCAGCAGGCTAATTTATTGATCCATTTCATAGGACGACCCCCCGAAAAACAGGCTGGTAGGCAACACAATAAGCGAATAGAGAAACAGAAGCAGACACGAAAAAGTGAAGCACCATCAGAAAACATGATAGTGAATTAAGAGGGGGGGAGGGAGGGAGGGTTATATAATATATATATTATATATGTGTGTACTGTGTATGCAAGGTGTGTGAATGCGTCTCCTCATGTCATGTGTGTGTTACATGTGTCTCCCTTTGTGGCAGCAGTGTGTTTAGGCCTCGCTCTCCCCCGCTGACGAGGTGTTCTGCACCTCCTCCTCCAGGATGGGCACGATCAGGTTGTCCTTGGACATCAGGTTGTACTTCATGACGAAGCGCCTGAACCGGTGACACAGGAACGTCTCGTTCTGTAGGCAGAAAAACAGATCAAAACAAGGTCAATCTGGCGTTCTGATTTTTAACAAAGTCATTTATGGCACTTTTTCCACTGCAGCACGTAGCACGGTTTAACGCTTTTTGCTTTTCCGCCTGTTACTAAAGTGCTGATTCTGGGTCAGTAGCTTCAAACATTCACACTTCAACATGAGGCATGTTGTGAGTTAAGATTAAGCAATAAGGTTGAGGGAATATGATACAACCTTGAGAACAAAATACTGTGGTCACTACCGAAACACTGGATGTTTTGTAAAAAATAAAGTATATTGACTTATCAAATAAAATGATATGATACTGATTGGTTTAATGTATGTTCAATTTCAACAATCATCAACTCTGGAATCAATATGATCAGTGTTATGCATTTTACAAAGAAAGTTTGTATTATGATTTTTATGAATTGTATGAACTTTGAAATTTGATTAAAATTTCACTTTTATTAATTTAATTGTGAAAACCCTCAAGAAATATTTGTTAAAATACTATTTAGAGAAGGTAAGGTAAAACAATCTTAACAGGTTAATATAATACTTGTTTACTACAGTGTATGTACTATGTTTCGGTAGTGACCATTTTTGGTAGAGGAAGAACATTCCAATACAGTCTGAAAATACGATGTAAAAATGTACGGTTCTTTTACTAGATATGAATAATTTAGATATGGTACAAAATATAAATGGACAAAGTTTTGGGAAAAAAACATGCAAAATTTCAAAACATTTCCAACCTGACTTTGGTTCAATTCGGTAGAAAGGCCCATATACAGTATTGATTGTATCTTCCAACCATTTGGACGCAGACTTGCATTTCCCCATAACGATGTTGTTTAATAACCGGCGTAAACGGACCTTCGCGCTATCAAGCAGTGAGCGTGCGATGTCCTGTTCAGATGACGTCAAATCCAACGGGATGCCATAAATAAACTACACAGAATCACACTACACACCTACGCAATGATTACATTCAGGCACACTGTAGAATACAACCTCTTTAGACAATTCATATACTTATTGAAAACAAGCTACAAAATGTAATACCTTGGAAAATGCCGTTTAATACTTTTTAATACTTTTTAATAGCCTTAATTTTCACTAAATTGATTTATCAACTTTTAATACTTTTTACAGGGTTCTTACACCTTTTCCAAAGTCAAATTCAAGCACTTTTCAAGCATTTTCAAGGTGCATTTCAAGCTTATCAAGCATCTTACAGCTGTTGTAAATTACATATTTATATACACATACTTATCCTCAAAATGATTATTTCCCTACCTCACATTAAATCAGATGTTCTTTATTCTATAAACAACCAGATGTGTGTTTCGTGATAGCATTCTACATGAGGATGATACATTAAAGAAAAATAAAACAAAGTGTAATATTTCAAAATGAGTGACCCATCTGTAAGTAGACTGCATCCCATATAACCTGGCTGAGCCAATATACAACAATCCGCCAAATAACTTTTCAATAAATTCTTTATTAACATGTTTGAGTTCCTTAGGATGGCAGTGAACATAAGGCTCTCCCAGGTTAGGCCAAAGGGTGCATTATATGCACACATATACTGTATCAACTCAAATATGAATTTTCCTTCACATTGAATCAGCAATCAGAAATTATGCAAATCAAATCAACTTTCAATCAGTCTTTGAGCTCCTTGAGTTGAAAAAGCAAACAGAAAACCTGCACAGAACACTGCACTGAATCATTCAAGGTAAGGCTAAACAGCATACGGCCTGTTAGGGAGGGTCTTTCAGTTCCTTGAGTTTGTCCGTTAGCTGTCTCTCCAAAGTCTCCAGATGTCTTTCCTTTTCCTTAGCAGCTCTTCCAAGGCCATTGGGCTTGGAGATGAAGCTTAGTTTTCTTTTTATGCAACTGTGTACTACTTCTACTCCACTACAGTTCAGAGGTACATGGTGTACTTTGACTCCACTACATGTATTTAATCCCTTTAGTTACTTTACAGATGTGGATGAATGATGTGAAATATAATCAAGTGTTAAATCAGACTTTAGTTCCACCTGGAGTAAATTCACAAGCTACCCTGCAGTATACAGTCATTCAAACTAGCTGCACCTTTACCAGCTTTGAGAACACTTTCATGATCAATCATTATAAAACATATCATATATATTATTCTGAAATGGAGCCTCAGTGACCTTTGAGATATCACCCTCTTTCAATCCCAAGAAAACATTCCTCCTCAAAGACACATTCACCTCTGACCTACTTTCACTTGTGGACTAGAGTTATCCTGTGGATGAACTCAAGAAACACTATCTCCGCCTACAAGGCCTTCCCCTTCCCTCTTTCCCAAAGTGCAGCCTCTCCTACTAACAGGTGCAGATAACGTTCACCTCATTACCCCAACCAAAAGAGTCTCTTTGGGTCCACAGGGGGCACCAATAGCCCTCCAGCTAGGTTCAAATACAAGATCTCACTCCTCACCCATCAGTGCATCCACGGGAACGCTCCTTCATACCTCAAGGAACTACTCTCCTCACAAACCTCCACACGCAACCTCCATTCTACAACCAACCATCTGCTTCCCCCCCCAGGACCAAACTCCGCACCATGGGGGGGCTTTCTGTTCACCTGTGGAATTCCCTCCCAGACAAACTGAGGACTCCACAGACCACTGACTCCTTTAAGAAGGGCCTAAAAACATTTCTTTTTTTTTTAAAAAGCCTTTTATTAAACTTGTGTTTCTTTAAAAAAAAAAGAAGTATATGATGCCCCTTGTAGCACTTTGAGATTACTTTTAGCAATGAAAGGTGCTTTACAAATAACATGCATCATTATTATTATTCTTATTCTTATCATTAGGTTGGACACTCCAAGGGCCTCCCCTATTCAGGAGCCATCGGATGCCCCCCAGAGTCTCTTCACCCCAACTGGAACCCCCGATGCCGAACTCAGTCGTCAGGTGGAGAAACTATGGCAGATAGGTGTCCTCCCCTTTCAGGAAGAGCAAGGCATCACCAGATCCAAGAGCCCCTCCAGTCCAGTGGACCCCCTTCCAGCAGCTCATTGACCGGGTCCTGCGTCCCACTCTCAGTATGCAGATATCCGGATGACTACATCGTTCAAAGTGAGATGTTGGGGCAGGTAAAGGCGGGGCTCCAAGCTAACCTGAAGAAGAGTGAGTTGGGGTATCTGGGGTCGATGGAGTCTCCTCTTTGGGGCCGGGATGGGTGGGAGGTGGTGGTAGGTAGCAGCAGGTGTATGTGCAACACATCTTTCTTCTTAAGAAAAGCTTTAAGTACAATTGATTGTTTTTGTTCATTTAATATTGAGTAGAGCTAACAGGAAGTCTCTCATCAGCTGCAGCCTTCTTCTTTATTTTCCAAAATGCCTCCACGCTCCTCTTCACGTCTCAAACTCGCCCCGTGATGAATAAACTGAGAACAAATCAAACCTGAGCTTGCAGATTTGTCTGGAACACCAGAAAAACGTGTTGAAACCTCAATAAATAAACTTCACACGGTATGACCTCTCACCTTTCTGTGTGTCTTCACTTCCTGTCACCTGAGAGGAGAAGGAGAGAGAGAGAGAATGATGATGATAATAAAACTAAGAGAAACAGCCAGAATGATGAAGAGAGAAAGAAGAGTGTTGTTTTCCTCTGAGGTCACGCTCCATTAAAGAGTTTCATATCTTGATGAATGGAGGATATGGTTTCAGTACTCACAGGTCTTCTGGATCGTGGCTCTGATCATCTCTCTTCCGATCCTGTAGAGACGAACACAATCCAACAGTTTGAGATCCAGTTTAAAATAAGTGTTAGTTCTTTGAGTCAGCTTCAGAGTCCTGATCTCATGCTTTACATCCCATCATATCTTCTCTGCAAACACTACGACTGCCTGCCACAGCTCTCAGCTGCATGACAGGAAGTAACCAGTCATTGGTCTAGAACAGGGGGGTCCAAACTCTTTTCACCGAGGGCCACATACAGAAAAATATATAAAGGTCTGGGCCGCTCTCTAGAGGTTTACTGCCTCATGAGTTCAGTTATAAGTCAGGAAAGTCAATCAAATGAAGGTAAAGGATGCTTGTTACTTGAAGATGCTTTAAGAAACAAAACAGCTCTCAGCTCTCCAGAGGGTTTACTTTATTCTGTTAGCAGCTCATTCCTTTAAACAGGAGCTTCAGATTGATTATAATTACAGGAAATATGAAGGGTTTATTTCACGCTTGTTATAACAATAAGTTATTGGGCTTTTTTCTTATCAAGTTAGATTTGTTAGAAAATGTTTTCAGCTTTAATTGACTGAATTTATTTTAAAGGTGGGCTTATTAACACATGAATACTACTGTGTAATATATGTGTACATATATATTTAAGAAGTACAATACAAGACAAGCAGAAGTTTCATCTGTGGGCCATATTTCATTATACTTTCAGAATTAGCTGAGGGCCGATTCCGAGGGCCGCATTTGGCCCCCGGGCCGCAGTTTGGACACCCCTGGGCTAGAAACTAAAAACATCCCATAAGAACAGACTACCTTTCCCACTCTTCTGTAAAACCCCATATGTCTGTTAGAGCGTTGATTACTAAAGTGTGGCTTTGCATTTCCAGCTGGCCTTCTATAGTTGATGGAAGAATGAAAGAGCCTGCAGTCAGTGGGTAACATCACTGATCTGTTTCCCCAGTGAGAGAAACACCTCCCTGTGGTTCATACAATACTGCTGAACCAGCAGAGACCCCTTACTGACCTGAGAGTCTCCAGTCTGCAGTCTGGACTCTCCAGAAGATCTCTCAGCTTCTCATCTGAATCCTGCAGAGCGTTGCCTCTCAGGTCCAGATCTCTCAGATGGATGTTGGACTTCAGAGCTGAGGCCAGAGCAGAACAGCTGATCTCTGACAAACTGCAGTCCCTCAGACTGAATAAAGAAAACATGATGAGGATACATATCAGTTTATAATCAGATGTGTTACTCAACATTGAAATGAATGGGAAAACATATGTCTTCTTCAGAAAGTTAACTTTATCCTGTAAAACTAATATTACTTCAGATGAACTTTATTCAGACGTTATCGTTTACTAAATATTAAAAACATAGATTTACTTTTTAAAACTAACATCTATTACAGTTCCTTTAAGAATCAGTCAACATTTATCTCTGCAGTTCTTACTTTAGTACCTACAAATGAAAGTATGAATAAAAGAACATTTACAACTTAATGGAGATAAGTTAATGATGTAGAAGAATCAGGTTGAATAACTAATGAAACATGAGATCTCCAGCAGTAACAGAGAGTCAGTGAACTGACCTGAGAGTCTCCAGTCTGCAGTCTGGACTCTCCAGAAGATCTCTCAGCAGCTTCACTCCTGAACCCTTCAGAGCGTTGTCACTCAGGTTCAGATCTCTCAGATGGATGTTGGACTTCAGAGCTGAGATCAGAGCAGAACAGCTGAGGCCTGTACTACGAAGCTGGTTCAACCTAACCTGGATATGTTGGAGTTAGCCGGTTGGCCTAAGCCAAAACATACGCGCTGGCGCTAAGCTGTACTACGACGCCGGTTATCAAGTGGATCGCTCAAGCCAGCCGTGTCCTATCTAGTTAGGTGCGCGTTCACATGAAAGGGGTGGTATTTGGAGCATTCGACCAATCTCAAACACGGACAAGCGTACTGACAGCGCAGCGTCATACTTCCTGAATGAAAAGTGAACTTTAATATTAGTCAAATATGAAGAAGTTAAACTTTAAACATCCATGACTTAAACACTTTATCCAGGATAAAAGCCACATAGCTGCACCTGCAAGGTGAATACAGCTGGTAAAAGAAAAAGTGTTTGAATGCGTACATTAACAGGTTTATGATATCACTGCCCCGTCCAAGACACGAGTTGATCTGACTTTAATTAGGAGAATTTGACTCGAGTGTTTCATCAACTTAATGTGTTGCTTAAAATAATACTTCTGCATACAGTATGTGACACTGTGAGTGTTGCACGGCCAGATACGGCTCAAGAAGCTGACTCAAATAAGGAAATATATGATACATTATGATGTGATATGATATGAATGATAATGGGACACATCGTCTGCACTCACAGTGCCGCGGACTGTACTTAATGTTACTCTGATCCGGTTACTTATGTCGTGGCAGATATTTAAGTAAGCTTTCTTAACGCTAATATTATAATAGTCAGATTGCTCTGAAGATGGGAGGGGATATTCTATTAATTTTCACGTTCACACAGTCAGTTGATTTTGACCGGCCGTCTTTCCTGCAACGGCAGTTTTTCTGTATTTCCTCTATCCTGTAATATGAATTGATCGCTTTAAACTCCGCACACGGAGCTCTGATTGGTCAGCAGGCGGTGCTTTCACTGAGTTGATCTCTTAGCCTGCCACCTAACCTGCTCCGGAGCAGGTTTGCCGCTCAGCATAAGTTACCATGGAGATCTAGCCTGCTAAAAAGAGAACCAGCGTCGTAGGACCGGAAAGCCCGAGATTTCCCTGAATTTAGCCGGCTAAGCGAAAATCCAGCTTCGTAGTACAGGCCTCTGGTGTTTACCTGTGTGTTGTAGTTTCTCTGACCTCTGTCCTCTGTACCTGGTGTTTACCTGTGTGTTGTAGTTTCTCTGACCTCTGACCTCTGTACCTGGTGTTTACCTGTGTGTTGTAGTTTCTCTGTCCTCTGTCCTCTGTACCTGGTGTTTACCTGTGTGTTGTAGTTTCTCTGACCTCTGTCCTCTGTACCTGGTGTTTACCTGTGTGTTGTAGTTTCTCTGTCCTCTGACCTCTGTACCTGGTGTTTACCTGTGTGTTGTAGTTTCTCTGTCCTCTGTACCTGGTGTTTACCTGTGTGTTGTAGTTTCTCTGACCTCTGTCCTCTGTACCTGGTGTTTACCTGTGTGTTGTAGTTTCTCTGACCTCTGACCTCTGTACCTGGTGTTTACCTGTGTGTTGTAGTTTCTCTGTCCTCTGTCCTCTGTACCTGGTGTTTACCTGTGTGTTGTAGTTTCTCTGACCTCTGTCCTCTGTACCTGGTGTTTACCTGTGTGTTGTAGTTTCTCTGTCCTCTGACCTCTGTACCTGGTGTTTACCTGTGTGTTGTAGTTTCTCTGTCCTCTGTACCTGGTGTTTACCTGTGTGTTGTAGTTTCTCTGACCTCTGTCCTCTGTACCTGGTGTTTACCTGTGTGTTGTAGTTTCTCCGACCTATGTCCTCTGTACCTGGTGTTTACCTGTGTGTTGTAGTTTCTCCGACCTCTGTCCTCTGTACCTGGTGTTTACCTGTGTGTTGTAGTTTCTCCGACCTCTGTCCTCTGTACCTGGTGTTTACCTGTGTGTTGTAGTTTCTCTGACCTCTGTCCTCTGTACCTGGTGTTTACCTGTGTGTTGTAGTTTCTCCGACCTCTGTCCTCTGTACCTGGTGTTTACCTGTGTGTTGTAGTTTCTCTGACCTCTGTCCTCTGTACCTGGTGTTTACCTGTGTGTTGTAGTTTCTCTGACCTCTGTCCTCTGTACCTGGTGTTTACCTGTGTGTTGTAGTTTCTCTGACCTATGTCCTCTGTACCTGGTGTTTACCTGTGTGTTGTAGTTTCTCCGACCTCTGTCCTCTGTACCTGGTGTTTACCTGTGTGTTGTAGTTTCTCCGACCTCTGTCCTCTGTACCTGGTGTTTACCTGTGTGTTGTAGTTTCTCCGACCTCTGTCCTCTGTACCTGGTGTTTACCTGTGTGTTGTAGTTTCTCTGACCTCTGTCCTCTGTACCTGGTGTTTACCTGTGTGTTGTAGTTTCTCTGACCTCTGTCCTCTGTACCTGGTGTTTACCTGTGTGTTGTAGTTTCTCTGACCTCTGTCCTCTGTACCTGGTGTTTACCTGTGTGTTGTAGTTTCTCTGACCTCCTGCTGTGTGTTTAGGACACCTTTGAGCGAGCGAAGGCCTGGGTGAAGGAGCTGCAGAGGCAGGCCAGTCCCAACATCGTGATCGCTCTGGCTGGGAACAAGGCGGACCTGGCAGAGAGGAGACTAGTGGAGTACGAGGTAACAAGCTCCCGTCATGTTGTGAATATCCTCATAAATATAAAAAATACCCTGATTTAAAGAGCCAAAGATCACTTTTTTAAGACATATTCATAATGAAGAATATGTTGATTACACAATGTCATAGCTGTAGAATAATGACACCGTCAGCGTTTGGATTGGTTCCCTTTAAGCCTTACTTTCACTTTACAATTCTGCAACTGGGTTAGATCTCCCTTTTACAATTAAAGTCCTCTTTATGCACCATAGACTGTATGGACCTCTAGACATATATAAACGTGTTTCTTAACAAAAAGTAAGGTCAAGTCATTCCTGTAGGTTTTATGGCCATTTTAAACCTTTTTTACCCATATTTTCTAACCATTTTTGGGATAATATTGTGACAATATATGCTCATTTTGTCCTTTGCCTGTCTATGATAGCTTCTGTTTACAATTAAACAACAAGATAAGAGAACAGGGCACAACCTTTTGTTTTACTATATCTAATTGGCTGCATTAAAATACAGGTGGTAAAGTCCGTAAGGCCTGGCTAATTAAAAACAGAAACTGTATTCGAGGCACAAGTCAGAGCTTTGTGTAGTGTCGTCATGGGTCACGCTCCAGAGAGGGTTATTTGGTTTTGTAAGTGTTTAAACTGACTTTATATCTGCATTTGTGTGTTGTATGAAAAAGGACGCCCAGACGTACGCTGAAGACACCGGCTTGCTCTTCATGGAGACCTCTGCTAAAACAGCCATGAACGTCAATGAGCTCTTCCTGGCTATTGGTGAGTTTCCTGTCATTTACACGAGACTTGTTGATAGTAAAAATACTTAAAAAATGAATTTTTACTAGTTACCAAAAATCAAAGGTGCACAACCAAGCTCGTGAAAACTTAAGAAAATAGATATTGACATTATTATGACCTTAAAATATCAAGAAATCAAGATAACTGAACATTTGTTAGTTTGTGAAGTGACTCTGTTGGTTATTTTGACAAAGGAGAAGACTCTTTAAAGTAGAGACACTACATACTGATATACACCTGAACATCAGCAGGAGAGGACTCTTTAAAGTAGAGACACTACATACTGATATACACCTGAACATCAGCAGGAGAGGACTCTTTAAAGTAGAGACACTACATACTGATATACACCTGAACATCAGCAGGAGAGGACTCTTTAAAGTAGAGACACTATATACTGATATACACACTGAACATCAGCAGGAGAGGACTCTTTAAAGTAGAGACACTACATACTGATATACACCTGAACATCAGCAGGAGAGGACTCTTTAAAGTAGAGACACTACATACTGATATACACCTGAACATCAGCAGGAGAGGACTCTTTAAAGTAAAGACACTACATACTGATATACACCTGAACATCAGCAGGAGAGGACTCTTTAAAGTAGATACACTACATACTGATATACACCTGAACATCAGCAGGAGAGGACTCTTTAAAGTAGAGACACTACATACTGATATACACCTGAACATCAGCAGGAGAGGACTCTTTAAAGTAGAGACACTACATACTGATATACACCTGAACATCAGCAGGAGAGGACTCTTTAAAGTAGAGACACTACATACTGATATACACCTGAACATCAGCAGGAGAGGACTCTTTAAAGTAGAGACACTACATACTGATATACACCTGAACATCAGCAGGAGAGGACTCTTTAAAGTAGAGACACTACATACTGATATACACCTGAACATCAGCAGGAGAGGACTCTTTAAAGTAGAGACACTACATACTGATATACACCTGAACATCAGCAGGAGAGGACTCTTTAAAGTAGAGACACTACATACTGATATACACCTGAACATCAGCAGGAGAGGACTCTTTAAAGTAGAGACACTACATACTGATATACACTTGAACATCAGCAGGAGAGGACTCTTTAAAGCAGAGACACTACATACTGATATACACCTGAACATCAGCAGGAGAGGACTCTTTAAAGTAGAGACACTACATACTGATATACACCTGAACATCAGCAGGAGAGGACTCTTTAAAGTAGAGACACTACATACTGATATACACCTGAACATCAGCAGGAGAGGACTCTTTAAAGTAGAGACACTACATACTGATATACACTTGAACATCAGCAGGACAGGACTCTTTAAAGCAGAGACACTACATACTGATATACACCTGAACATCAGCAGGAGAGGACTCTTTAAAGTAGAGACACTACATACTGATATACACCTGAACATCAGCAGGAGAGGACTCTTTAAAGTAGAGACACTACATACTGATATACACCTGAACATCAGCAGGAGAGAACTTTTTAAAGTAGAGACACCTGAACATCAGCAGGAGATGACTCTTTAAAGTAGAGACACTACATACTGATATACACCTGAACATCAGCAGGAGAGGACTTTTTAAAGTAGAGAGACTACATAGTACATACATTTTATCGGGTCATTCACTTGGTCCATTAGTGACCTCAGTGGAAAATAAATGTGGCTCCCGATAAATCGCCCTAATCAATTAAAATGAAAAGAATCTTAACTTGGAAAAGCTGACTGCATTGCAGGTGAAGACTACAACTCCCATGATCCCACGTTACCTCAAAACGTCACCAAACTCTGTCTTTTTTATTACAGTCATTGAAAGACCCAGAGTGGCAAAAAATTACAAATATAGATTTCTTTGATACTGGTTGATATTTTTACTACACTACACATATTAAGGCCCACTTCAACTTAAAGTGGACCTATCATGCTATATTTGAATAATATAGTGTAGGACCATACCAATATAAGGCATATTTATACTTTTTTTTTTTCAAAATACCAAACAGATCATTTTTATTTTATTTAGCCTTTATTTATACAGGTGTAAAATCTCATTGAGACACAAGGTCTCATTTGCAAGAGAGACCTGTCAGTGGTAACACTACCACACAAAGTTACAGACAGACAGGACACTAAACACAGAGGCAACAATAAAATACAACATCGTAAAAAAAGTAGTCATTGAAATCCATATAAAGTATTCAGATATAGCAGGTGCAAACACCCACAGATGATTTCTCCAGCTTTTTTAAAATGAGTTTAAAATCCGTGATGGGTATCAAAGTGGTCAGCTTAATGATCATGCATTTTAGCCATGCCTCATTTTGCTCAATTTGACAATAGAGTGGCGAAGTCACGCCCATCTACTTCCGCCCCATGGGACCTTATTTCGGAAAAATAATGTATTGAAGTCAATGGAGAGAGAAAACTTATCTTTCGATCCCGTTTGAATTGTGCCATGAATTACACATATGATGTTTGTCAATCTTAAAAAATCATTTCCATGTCAAAAAAGTCACAGTTTGTCGTAAAACTGTTGAAATATAAGACTATGAAAAATACGCAACTAGAAAGACTACAAATCCCAGAGTCGCGTAAGTGATGTCACAATTGAGACACTAAGAGATAGCTACGATCAGCGCCATATAGATAGAATCTATCTATATGGCGCTGGCTAAGATAAGATAACTTTAACAAGATGCCTGTGTGCTTAGTACCAGGTTGTTATTATACCAGCAATGGGTCTTGCTCGTTCTTTCGCTTCCCGTCTGATGAAAGAGGAGTGTGTGGATCAAGCCAGCTAGTAGCTAGCACGTTAGTTAGCATTACAGCCTTGTCATTTGTATTAGCCTTAACATGAAGTAACATTAAGTAACCCAAAATGTTAAACAGTAAGAGTAGTAGTCATATTTCGTGAACCCTTTGAAGAGTACTGTCACCGGTGTGATCATTCTATAATACACCATTTAAGCCCGGGGGAGAAATGCTAACGCTAACGCTAGCGATCTTTTCTACTTCATGCTATCTGCACAAATGGTTGACATTAAACATTAAAACGACCAGGCAGTTCAGAGAGAATCAAAGGAAGGCAGACAGGCAGCTTTGCATGACATTCTTCAGGACGTGTTTCATTGTGGTGATAGTGAGGGTAGTCAATCGTTTTGTTGACAAGACAGTAGTGACGGCCATCTTGGTGACGTGTGTTGTTGACCAGAGATGTAGTTCATTGAGCGTTTCACACAAACAAATGTGTTACTTCACAGTTTTACGACACATTTTTTTTTTTTTGACTTGCAAAATTATCTTTTAAATTGACAAACATCATATGTGTAATTCGTGGCACAATTCAAACAGGATCGAAAGATAATCTTTCTCTCTCCATTGACTTCAATACACTCTATAAGGCTCTGTCCACAAGATGGCGTCTATCAACTTCCGGCGGGGGGTGTGGGGGCGAGTACTTCCGGTTTGAGTACAGAGTTTTTACAGCTTGACAGTTTGACAGTTTGACAGTTTGTTATGACCATACTTGCCAACCCTCCCGATTTTCGCGGGAGACTCCCGATTTCATAGCCCTCTCCCGGTTTCCTCCCGGGGTCATATTTCTCCCGCATTTCTCCCGATTTCTGACTAAATCAGATTTACCCTGGACTGTTTCCACTCGGACTTTAATACAGCTACACCATTGTTTGGTTTCCATGGTAGCGCGTCTCTTTAGTAGCGCGCGCAACTGAGAGTGTGAGGAAGATAGTCACAGAAAACTGAACAAGAATCGACAACTCCACCCGTTGCTCACTCCTTTCCTGGATACAGATCCAGCCCACACATATGCTCCATGGTGCTACAGGCAATGTACTTACAACTACAATAAGCATGTTAATGTTAAGCTCCGGCGAACCACTAGCACACCCCCCCCCCCCCCCCCCCCCCCCTCCGCGGTTGAAATGCTCCCGATTTCCAAGGTCTCAATGTTGGCAAGTATGGTTATGACACACCAAGAGCAAGAAGGGGACTCTATAGAGTGGCGAAGTCCCTCCCCTTTGTCGACCATTATTGCCATGTCTGGTGTGAGCAGGCTCACGATGCCAGACAGCTTGAAAATCTCCCGGTCACTCATAGATCCTGCATACAGGCCAGACACAAATGTAATGGCACCATGTGGTGCCATGCCGATCATGGCCTTGAATGTAGCATGAGACTTGTATGTTGAAAACACCTCACTCTGCAGCAGGAGAGATGATGGAGTCTGGCAGAATACTTCAGTGCAGTCAAGCACCACTTGTGTGTCAGGGAAAGCTGAAAACTCTGGTGGAAGGTGAGCTGACAACTTCGCGTGGGATCCACAGACGTTGGCTTCCAAGCAGTTGGTACAGGAAGTGTGTCCAGGTGGAAATAATTCTGCTGACTGTGGTGCGGTGAATGCCAAACCGTTCTGCTAGATCCCTCAGATGTAGGCCCACTGACAGGTGCATGAGGAACAGCAGCAGCTCATCTATGGGTGGAAGTTTCTGTGAAAACAAATAAGTGTTAGGCATACTGTAGATACTGTTATAGGGAGACCGGGTACAGTTGTAACACATTTTCCGTTTGTATGTGTGTGTGTGTGTGTGTGGCATGTGTGTGTGTTGTGAGTGATGTGATGCACTTGTTAAACGGTGGTATAGTGCGCAGCGTGCATAATTATTAATATACATCCATGCTTGTATGCTGCATACCGTTGTTGTTGGTTGAGAGGAATCCGAGCTGCTGGCAGAGGATGCCTTGGCGTTGGTGATCCGCACCATCTTGGTGTTGGCTGCTGGCTCCACCAATTTCCAAAAGGCAAGGAAATGCTTGTATGTGGCAAATCTAAGAATGTAATATTGTTCATGTTAGACATTGTTTTGTTTCTTAAATTAGCTTCCCCAAATTAAAGGTGTTTTTCAAACTAGTGGCCATAACAACATCCTGATAGCCTTATAAACAAACCTGGTGTAGAAACGAATGTCCTCCTCCGACCCTGCCAGGCGTTGTATCCCGAAACGAGATCGCAGTTGTAACACTTCCAGCTGGTGTTGGAGCTCCCTAACCTGCATTTTCAAGGCTTCGTTCTCGTCGGCCACCTGATTTGCCATCACTGCCGTCGCTGGATTTAAACAGTACTCATGATCAGGCAGCGCAACTGTTTCCACCTCGTACTCAGCTGTCAAGTCCGGGGTGGGGCTCTCTGCCCTCGGCCGACGCTCCCAAACATTACGTCTTGGTGTAGGTAGCTCGTAGTTATTCCATGCAAAGAGAACAGGTGTAGCTCTTTTCTGTACTCTGTGCAGTCCTCCCGCTGTGACCAATAAGTCTCCTGGTCGAAAATGCCTACTGCACACACGGGTATTTTTTGTGGGGCTGAAATTGTCCCTACGGACCTTGATCAGCCACTGAGCCTTTACCTCAGCATCAATGGGAAATGCATGGAAACTTATCTCCCGATTATAACGGGCCGAATTCGTACACAGTGGCACACAGCAATGTAGTGCCGACTTTCTTACCCGCTGGAAGGCCAATCGCTTTTCTTTACCCCGAAATCCGCTCATTCTTGCTCTTGGTGTGTCATAACAAACTGTCAAACTGTCAAACTGTCAAGCTGTAAAAACTCTGTACTCAAACCGGAAGTACTCGCCCCCACACCCCCCGCCGGAAGTTGATAGACGCCATCTTGTGGACAGAGCCTTATAGAGTGTATTGAAGTCAATGGAGAGAGAAAGATTATCTTTCGATCCCGTTTGAATTGTGCCACGAATTACACATATGATGTTTGTCAATTTAAAAGATAATTTTGCAAGTCAAAAAAAAAAAAATGTGTCGTAAAACTGTGAAGTAACACATTTGTTTGTGTGAACCGCTCAATGAACTACATCTGGTCAACAACACACGTCACCAAGATGGCCGTCACTACTGTCTTGTCAACAAAACGATTGACTACCCTCACTATCACCACAATGAAACACGTCCTGAAGAATGTCATGCAAAGCTGCCTGCCTGCCTTCCTTTGATTCTCTCTGAACTGCCTGGTCGTTTTAATGTTTAATGTCAACCATTTGTGCAGATAGCATGAAGTAGAGAAGATCGCTAGCGTTAGCGTTAGCATTTCTCCCCCGGGCTTAAATGGTGTATTATAGAATGATCACACCGGTGACAGTACTCTTCAAAGGGTTCACGAAATATGACTACTACTCTTACTGTTTAACATTTTGGGTTACTTAATGTTACTTCATGTTAAGGCTAATAAAAATGACAAGGCTGTAATGCTAACTAACGTGCTAGCTACTAGCTAGCATGATCCAGAGTACTCCTGGTCCTTTCATCAGACGGGAAGCGAAAGAACGAGCAAGACCCATTGCTGGTATGATAACAACCTGGTATTAAGCACACAGGCATCTTGTTAAAGTTATCTTATCTTAGCCAGCGCCATATAGATAGATTATATCTATATGGCGCTGAACTTAGATCTTAGTGGAGGAAAACAATTGTGACATCACTTACGCGACTCTGGGATTTGTAGTCTTTCTAGTTACGTATTTTTCATAGTCTTATATTTCAACAGTTTTACGACAAACTGTGACTTTTTTGACATGGAAATTATTTTTTAAGATTGACAAACATCATATGTGTAATTCATGGCACAATTCAAACGGGATCGAAAGATAAGTTTTCTCTCTCCATTGACTTCAATACATTATCTTTCCGAAATAAGGTCCCATGGGGCGGAAGTAGATGGGCGTGACTTCGCCACTCTATTTCTAGCTCTGGGCAGATTCAGTGAGAACAGCACCACCTACTGGCCTGGCATATGTACTACAGCGTCTCCAGCGCTTTCGAACGGCAATGCCGTGGTTGTCTACTCCTGATTGGTGGAGTTGGCCCAATAGCCGTAGCGCCACTGTCCTGACATCAGGACAGTGTTCAAATCTGGATCAGTTTTTATCAGATCCGTTGCAGCCCCTTTTTTAGAGATTTGGGTATGGAGGAAAATAGAGAGGGTTGTGTTTTCTGACACTTGGTGAGTTCCCTGGAACACCGGGGACACATATTCATGTATAAAAGACGTACAAAAGTGCATTTTGCATGATAGGTCCCCTTTAAGATGAATAATGAGCAGCAGCTATAAACTCTCACATTATTTGAAACACATGCTTTATATGGGAATGACATTAAAATGCATTGTCTCCCTATCAAATAAATAAAAAATCTCCAGCCTTCCTTATAAAAGTCTTATCTCCAGATTTTAAAGGGCTCATGTCATGCTTTTCCGGTTATAACCCGTCCCCTTGTGTGTTATGAAGGATGATTAGGACAATTCTGGAGAAATAGATCTGAAAGGTGCACGTTAAATCAGCAGAGCTGCCATCCACCTGGACCCCCCGTGGTGCTGGAGAAAGCAAAACGGCGATCAGGAACATCATCCACCCAATCCTCTGCTCACTGCCGTCCTCCAGACGTATCAGTGCAGAACTGTAGAGCTCAACACTGCTGCCACTTCAGCCTTACATACTTTTACTTCAAATTAAATTATTTCATCTGTGTGCCATATACAACATCTCATTTTGCATATACTGTATATACTTATTACATTGCTGTTAACAGTTCATTTATTTGCAATACTGTCTAGATTTAATCTACAACTAAGATTATATTACTTAATCTAAATTGTGTTTGTTTATGTTTATCTATATTTTATCTTGCACTTTTCTGTGTCTTAGTTTCAGAATTGGATTTTTTATGTGTCCTTTCTTTTAATAGATATTTAATGATTAGGCTATAGCTTACTGCTGTTGATGTTAAATGGCACGATTGATTTCCTCTGTCTCAATGATGAAAGTTCTCATAATAGAAGACATGAAGCTGCAGAGAGAGGATGGATATATTCTTACCTCTACTTTGTGATTAGATGAAAATACAAAATTGAATTAAAATAGTAATTGTTAAACACATTGTTTATTTCATTTACTGAGGTTTTAACCATTATTTACAACATGTGTACATAAGCAGTGGAATAATAGGATATCTCTAGGTCATTAAACTGTCTTAAGTTTTGTTTAATTATATTAACACAAAAAATAGGCTATAGAAAATCTTTAATTGTGTATTTCAGCAGAGCGGGGGGTCACGGAGCTGTTGGACCTGGAGGTGCTGACCTGGGGTCAGTAGGACATCATCTGGGCTGGTTTAGGGGAAGAAGGAGAATATAAACTATTATAATCACAGCTAATAAGATTAGAAAACTAATATTGTTTAGAATCAATCTAAACAATATGCTGTTGTTCATTTAAAAAACATATCGTTTTATTAGTACAGACAAATTAAGACTTATGTTAAATATGAAATAATATGATTAAATCACATCAGCTATATAATGTACTTGTTAACTTACTAATGTAACATTACTGGGGGCTAAAGGAACAGCTTCACCTGGCCATGGTCCTCTTTATTTCATCGCCGTCGGTGATCTCCAAAAAATGGTTAAAGTAAAAAAGTAAAGTTTCTGGATCATGTTCAGCTGAGTTAGCTTGTTAGCTCATATGCTATCAGGCTGCTGGAGCAGCGCAACAGAACAGCGCGTATCATGTGACGTAAACAGGCAGTGCTCCGCAGGCTGGACCGTCTCATTTCGTAGGCCACTCGGTCTGCATCCTTCGTGGACCGCGTAGGCTGCGTCCTCCGAAGGATGCAGCCCCTGAATTGAGACACGGGGGGTGTTTCTCAATGTCGAGGACGCTTCCTTGGTAGGACAAGTCTTCCGAGTCAGGTCCTTCAGAAGCTAGGCAAGAATCCTTCCTGGCATTCGGAAAACGAAGAGTGGAACAGGCGAGCAAGTGTGCAGGTGTGCGTCATATGAGAGGCATCGCCTTAAATTGAGTGCGATTTGTTTGAAGAAGACTCATAACTGATTTGCAAAGATCGAAGATGTACTTGAGTAACTGTATTCGGTAAAATGATCATCTCTCCAGGACAGAACCACTAAACTAACAGAAAACATTCTCCTTCTGTTTGCAGCCTTCAAAAAGTCCTGGAGGATAAGCAGCCATAAGAAAATCATAAAATCACCATGACCAATCAATAATCAAATGTGTATTCATATATCATACTTGATATCTGCAAACCTTTTTTACACATATTGGTGCACATTGTAGCATAAACCACAAATATCAACAAAAGAGGCAAAGTCAAAACAAGGTTCATTTTAATTATTTATTTAGGTGCAAAACGCTCAAAGGTCTCATTCAAACCTAATAGTCCGCTTCTCACATATACTGTATCAACTCAAATGTGAATTTTCCTTCACATTGAATCAGCAATCAGAACTTATGCAAATCAAATCAACTTTCAATCAGTCTTTGAGCTCCTTGAGTTGAAAAAGCAAACCACCAACCTGCACAGAACACTGCACTGAATCATTCAAGGTAAGGCTAAACAGCATACGGCCTATTAGGGAGTGTCTTTCAGTTCCTTGAGTTTGTCCGTTAGCTGTCTCTCCAAAGTCTCCAGATGTCTTTCCTTTTCCTTAGCAGCTCTTCCAAGGCCATTGGGCTTGGAGATGAAGCTTAGTTTTCTTTTTATGCAACTGTGTACTACTTCTACTCCACTACAGTTCAGAGGTACATGGTGTACTTTGACTACATGTATTTAATCCCTTTAGTTACTTTACAGATCTGGATGAATGATGTGAAATATAATCAAGTGTTAAATCAGACTTTAGTTCCACCTGGAGTAAATTCACAAGCTACTGTTGGAGTCGGGAGGGCTGATAATTTATTCCGGCAAATTACTCAGACCTACTAATTGACCTAACAGAAGTTATTGAGTCTTTGTAAGTTTACTGCTTGGCTCAGATCCACCAACGTCAGCAAGATCTCACCTCTATTAACTCCTGGAGAACCAGGTTCAATTAACTGCTGTTTCAATTCAGACGACCCGCTAAATCTGTTTAAGCGATCCCGAAGGATTTTGATATCAGTAGTGAGGTGTGGCCCTATACTAAGTGTGAGTGGGGCAGTGTGCAATCTTACCTTTAAGCAGGAGAGGAGAGCACAGATGTATTTTAAGTTGTCCCAGTCCAAAAGGTGGGATCAGTTTATTTGAAGAAAAATGGTCCACACGTATACAGGGTTTTTACCTTCTCTCGTTACAAAATTACAATCATACTAAACATATCATGCTGGGGTCATTTTCTAATCTAAAACCTTAATTCATAGTTTAGACATTAAAGTCTTCCGACAAAATCCAAAGGAATTTCCTCACAGATCGCAGGGGTTAACATTCACACCTTATGGCCTGACACATTCAGAGGTCAGTTCCTCAGAATGATCAGTTGGAATTCTAGTTTTAAACTTGCATCCAACCATTCACTCAGCATTCAATACACAGAGATTAAGCAATAGTTACAAAGTTGGAGAGAACCTTACAGAGGCGAAAACCCAAAAACAAAAACAGGACAGAAAAACCCAAAGACACCTCCTCCATACCCATATTTGTGGAAACTGGGCATGGCCTCTGATGTACAGGACATGGACTTGTCCAGACATATTCCTATGGCTATGGCATAAGACACACCTTCCCATGTTTGTGTAAAAAGGTCATGACCCCTACTCTGCAGGACTTGCAAAATATTATTCTCGGCTATGACATAACCAACCTTTTTGGGGCCTCAATGTATTTCTCCTTAAGTCAGGAGCCCCCCTCCCGTGTACTGCTGTGAGGGAAGAGGGAAGAACTGTCTCTCCTCTCTTATCAGTGACACCCATAAACCATTATAGGCCTTACACACTCAATTTAACAAACCACTTGTGTTTTGTTTATACTGTAAATATAGAAACCATAAATATTAAGCATTTTCATTGTGGGTTATACAAGAATATAATTGATTATAATTACTTTCATTTTAAGTATTCAACCTAATATGGAGATCTCAACACTACCCTGCAGTATACAAAGTCATTCAAACTAGCTGCACCTTTACCAGCTTTGAGAACACTTAATGATCAATCATTATAAAACATATCATATATATTATTCTGAAAATGGAGCCTCAGTGACCTTTGAGATATCACCCTCTTTCAATCCCAAGAAAACATTCCTCCTCAAAGACAATTCACCTCTGACAGACTTTCACTTGTGGACTAGAGTTATCCTGTGGATGATCTCAAGAAACACTATCTCCGCCTACAAGGCCTTCCCCTTCCCTCTTTTCCAAAGTGCAGCCTCTCCTACTAATAGGTGCAGATAACTTTCACCTCATTACCCCAACCAAAAGAGTCTCTTTGGTCCACAGGGGGCACCAATAGCCCTCCAGCTAGGTTCAAATACAGATCTCACTCCTCACCCATCAGTGCATCCACGGGAAACGCTCCTTCATACCTCAAGGAACTACTCTCCTCACAAACCTCCACACGCAACCTCCATTCTACAACCAACCATCTGCTTCCCCCCCCAGGACCAAACTCCGCACCATGGGGGGGCTTTCTGTTCACCTGTGGAATTCCCTCCCAGACAAACTGAGGACTCCACAGACCACTGACTTCCTTTAAGAAGGGCCTAAAAACCTTTCTTTTTTTTTAAAAAGCCTTTTATTAAACTGTGTGTTATTTAAAAAAATAAGTATATTATGCCCCTTGTAGCACTTTGAGATTACTTTTAGCAATGAAAGGTGCTTTACAAATAAAATGCATTATTCTTATTCTTATCATTAGGTTGGACACTCCAAGGGCCCCCCCTATTCAGGAGCCATCGGATGCCCCCCAGATGTCTCTTCACCCCCAACTGGAACCCCCGATGCCGAACTCAGTCGTCAGGTGGAGAAACTATGGCAGATAGGTGTCCTCACCCTTTCCAGGAGAGCAAGGCATCACCAGATCCAAGAGCCCCTCCAGTCCAGTGGACCCCCTTCCAGCAGCTCATGGACCGGGTCCTGCGTCCCACTCTCAGTATGCAGATATCCGGATGACTACATCGTTCAAAGTGAGATGTTGGGGCAGGTAAAGGCGGGGCTCCAAGCTAACCTGAAGAAGAGTGAGTTGGGGTATCTGGGGTCGATGGAGTCTCCTCTTTGGTGCCGGGATGGGTGGGAGGTGGTGGTAGGTAGCAGCAGGTGTATGTGCAACACATCTGTCTTCTTAAGAAAGCTTTAAGTACAATTGATTGTTTTGTTCATTTGATATTGAGGAGAGCTAACAGGAAGTCTCTCATCAGCTGCAGCCTTCTTCTTTATTTTCCAAAATGCCTCCACGCTCCTCTTCACGTCTCAAACTCGCCCCGTGATGAATAAACTGAGAACAAATAAAACCTGAGCTTGCAGATTTGTCTGGAACACCAGAAAAACGTGTTGAAACCTCAATAAATAAACTTCACACAGTACGACCTCTCACCTTTCTGTGTGTCTTCACTTCCTGTCACCTGAGAGGAGAAGGAGAGAGAGAGAGAATAATGATGATGATAAAACTAAGAGAAACAGATAAAATGATGAAGAGAGAAAGAAGAGTGTTGTTTTCCTCTGAGGTCATGCTCCATTAAAGAGTTTACTATCTTGATGAATGGAGGATATGGTTTCAGTACTCACAGGTCTTCTGGATCGTGGCTCTCATCGGCTCTTCACCCCATCTGATCCTGTAGAGATGAACACAATCCAACAGTTTAAGATCCAGTTTAAAATAAGTGTTTGTTCTTTGAGTCAGCTTCAGAGTCCTGATCTCATGCTTTACATCCCATCATATCTTCTCTGCAAACACTACGACTGCCTGCCACAGCTCTCAGCTGCATGACAGGAAGTAACCAGTCATTGGTCTAGAACAGGGGTCCAAACAGAGGGCCACATACAGAAAAATATATAAAGGTCTGGGCCGCTCTCTAGAGGTTTACTGTCTCATGAGTTCAGTTATAAGTCAGGAAACTCAATCAAATGAAGGTAAAGGATGCTTGTTACTTGAAGATGCTTTAAGAAACAAAACAGCTCCCAGCTCTCCAGAGGGTTTACTTTATTCTGTTAGCAGCTCATTCCTTTAAACAGGAGCTTCAGATTGATTATAATTACAGGAAATATGAAGGGTTTATTTCACGCTTGATATAACAATAAGTTATTGGGCTTTTTTCTTATCAAGTTAGATTTGTTAGAAAATGTTTTCAGCTTTAATTGACTGAATTTATTTTAACCTCTTAAGCACGGCGGTCCCCCCATTGGACCCCTCCCACCGTTTTGTTTTCGAGATAATGTCTCAGGGCTTCTTAACATTTATGAAACTATGAATGTGTAGCACCAGATTAACGGGAAGAATCTCAGCTAACTGAAGATATGAACCATTTTTACCAAAACAAAACACAAGTCTCATAAGAAGCGTCTAAATGACCCCTGAGCGAAAAAATTCTAACGCACTGCGGCACACAATTCAAGATAAAAATACCCTTATTACTTATCGTAGCTGCACATACAATATAGCCGATTAAAGCTGAGACTCCACTGATTATTTAGGTATAGTATCATCACTGAGCGATCCCAAATTGCGACAGGGGAAGCAAACACAGACATCACAACACGTACCTTTACGGAGCTTTTACGGCAGATCGTCCTCACCGTAGCCTGTCAATTAGGTCTAAAAGACGGTTCAATTGGCATTAAAACGGAAAAAAAAAAATCTACAACTGTTGATCCATAGGTTGATAATGTACCTGTACCTTTTTAAAAATATTTATAATGCCATAATTCCATTTTTTATGTATAAAATCGGAGCGGAAAAGTTAGCTGGCTAATGGTAGCCACCAGAGTGTATGCAGCTTCCGGTTTTGGTAACGCGTCACTCTCACTCCTTATTTGTTAACCGTGTTGGTGTGTATATAACTTTCCCTCGATTCCATTGGCTCTAGCGGTTATAAAGAGATTTCATTTCATTAAATCGAGCAATGGGGGGCAGAGATAGGTCAAATCCACCCAAATGACCCAGAAGTGGGGTTTTGTTTTGGCTAAATCTCTCTAAAACGGGCAAATGTCACTTGTTTTGCATCAATCTTGATACAGGGTACTTATTATATGTTGTACTTTGGGATTCCTAAAGCTTTTAGTCTACTAACCCATCATCAAGGGTAGTTTTCACTATCTGTAAAAAATAATTTTTGGACGGACACTATAATTTACAGTTTTTTACTATGTAAAATCTGAATTTTCTTAAAATAAAAAACATCTATATTGATTCTGACTTTTTCTAAATCCAACTCACATGTTTATCATTACTTTGAGAAAAAAGATGATTAATTTAACCCTTTTAGAAGGGAAGATATGGTCATTTGTTCTGGGAATGTCATTTTCGAGCCTGAGACCTGAAAACACAGGCTCAGGGCTTAAGAGGTTAAAGGTGGCTCTTATTAGACAAATGAATACTACCGTGTATATATATGTGTACATATATATTTAAGAAGTACAATACAAGACAAGCACAAGTTTCATGTGGTGGCCATATTTCATTATACTTTCAGAATTTGCTGAGGGGCCGATCCCGAGGGCCTCATTTGGCCCCCGGCCGCAGTTTGGACACCCCTGGGCTAGAAACTAAAAACATCCCATAAGAACAGACTATACCTTTCCCACTGCTTCTGTAAAACCCCATATGTCTGTTAAGAGTTGATTACTAAAGTGTGGCTTTGCATGTCCAGCTGGCCTTCTTAGTTGATGGAAGAATGAAAGAGCCTGCAGTCAGTGGGTAACATCACTGAATCTGTTTCCCCAGTGGAGAAACACCTCCCTGTGGTTCATACATACGCTGAACCAGCAGAGACCCCTTACTGACCTGAGAGTCTCCAGTCTGCAGTCTGGCCTCTCCAGAAGATCTCTCAGCAGTTTCACATCTGAATCCTGCAGAGTGTTGCCTCTCAGTCCAGATTCTCTCAGATGGATGTTGGACTTCAGAGCTGAGATCAGAGCAGACCAGCTGATCTCTGTCAAACTGGCAGTCCCACGACTGAATAAAGAAAACATGAGTGAGGATACAAATCATTTATAATCAGATGTGTTACTCAACATTGAAATGAATGGGCACACAAACATATGTCTCTTCAGAAAGTTTAAACTTTATCCTGTAAAACTAATATTACTTCAGATGAACTTTATTCAGACGTTATCGTGTACTAAATATTAAAAACATAGATTTACTTTTTACAACTAACATCTATTACAGTTCCTTTAAGAATCAGTCAAACATTTATCTCTGCAGTTCTTACTTTAGTACCCTACAAATGAAGCTTATGAATAAAAGAACATTTAGAACTTTTATAAGATTGTAGTAATTATGTAGAAGAATCAGGTGAATAACTAATGAACATGAGATCTCCAGCAGTACAGAGAGTCAGTGAACTGCCTGAGAGTCTCCAGTCCTGCAGTCTGCACTCTCCAGAAGATCTCTCAGCAGCTTCACTCCTGAATCCTTCAGAGCCGTTCTCACTCAGGTTCAGAACTCTCAGATGGATGTTGGACTTCAGAGCTGAGCATCAGAGCAGAACAGCTGATCTCTTGACAAACTGCCAGCCCTTCAGTCTGATAAGAAACATGATGTAACTTTAGAAACAATGTTCCTGTTTGAAATAACTCCAGGTTTAATAATCTGTTCAGAGTTAACAGGGTTTTAAAGGTCTCCTATCATGCTATTTTTAGGCATATATTATGGGTCTCAGATATATACAAATATATAAAAACATGGCTATGATGTGTTTTGCTCAAAATACCAAACAGATCATGCATTTTAGAATCCCTCATATCCCTCTGTTCCAGCTGTTAGAGAAGAGCAGGTTCGGGTCCTTAGCTTGAACAAAGAAAAAGAAGGAGGTGGAGCTAATGCCTGATCAGAATTCTACCAGCAGAAACTCAGCTAAATGCTGCCGGTGATTTAAACTCCATATCATGTTCCAAACCACATCAAGGATTATCTCTGAACAGTATGGAGCTCAAACTCTTTCTCTCTCTCAGGTATTACCACAAGGTGAGGTTCCTTTTTATTTCCTGCTTCTTTACACATTGCTCTCTCCAGTACAGGGTTAGCTCTGAGTGTTAGGCATGCTAATGTAAACACAGACCATATTACTTCCAAACACGTCCCATTGTTTCTGACAGCAACGTTCTGATTGGCCCGTTGGTGTAAAGCCCGCCCACATGTTAGTAATGCCGTCATGACGCAGCAATCTGGATCAGCCTCCGTTGTTCGAACCCCCCCGTTTTAGAGATGTTGGTACGGAGGAAAAGAGAGAGGGTTTTGTTTCCTGACACTTTGTGTGTCTCCTGACACCGGGGACAACATGTGATGTAGAAAAGAACATCAGGAAGTGACTTTTGCATGATAGGAGACCTTTAATCTCAGAGATGATGTAGAAACAATCCATTGATAATCTGAAACTTTAACTTTGATCAGATGTTTAACAACTCCTTCATCTCCCTCACAGCTCATCAGTACTGACAGCATCTCCACTGCAGGCCCGGCGTCATGGGTGGCCCGCCCATGAGAAATCAGAGTTGATAAAAAAAAATTATTATATAAAACATTTTTTTACATTTTTGTATTATTATGTTTATTGTTGTTATTTGTAGGGCTTTGTCATAACATTTATTTTTGTATTAAACTATGTTGAAACATTAGTATAATATCATTTTTTTATTTTGCTATGAAATTCTGAATGAATCTGTCTGCGCGAGACTGGTTTTTCACGGGGTTGAGTCGTGTGTGTATGTGAGACGCGTCACAGCAGCCTGTCAGTTTACTCTGGCGGTTAGTTGGCTATTATCCTTTTTTATATGTATCGGCAACAATGGATATTAGGAAGTGTTCACGAACAATAAGAGCTCAAAAAAGGATTGTGGCAACTCAGCACCAGATTCTGGCAACTTGACGTGTCCCCCGCCATCTATTCTACCTACCTCTCCTCCACCAGGACCCGAGTCAAACGTTGTCAGACGCAGCCTCTTCGGAGCAGGGCAGCAGCAGTTCATCCTTAAGCAGCCCAGGCCCAGCTCCCATTCTAAACGCTCGTGATCTTGGAGATTTTCGTTTTCTAGTTCCAGAGGACCTTGGCGTGGATACACCAAAACAGGTAGTCCGGGAAAAACCGTAGTTTTGCCAGCTCATGGTACCAAAAACCGACCCTGGCTTGAATACTCCGTGAAAGGCGATGCTGCGTACTGTTTTCCCATGCAGAAAGTTTAAGGCTCATCATCATGACGCAATCGTTCACCGTAAAAGGCTTCAAAGACTGGACTGCATTTTGTTGATGAGAACTACAGATGGAGCCTCTTATTTTGGACCCCAGCATACAGCTTCCTGCCCGACTGCCAGCCGGTTGCCTGCCAAAGACCAGTATTCAGGAATGTTAGGGCCCTCCCACTATTCTCCAATTTCAGGGTTTAACCAGGAGATGGGCGCTATATATTAAATAACTAAGACTTAGTTTTTCACAATAGAAAATGCAGATATTATATAAAAAAACTAAAGTTAAAATCTTGTTTTTAATGCCCCAAGAGCAATAACATCTTGTCACAAGCTTTTTGGAAGAAAAAGACTGACTCAAGAGACCTGTAGTTGACTAATTACAGGCCTCATAAGTTCTCTGCCATTGGTTGTGAAAAACAACGGTGGACATAGTGGAAAGTGAAATTGAGTGAGTGATATCTCTTTGTATCACTCCATAAATCAGAAAATACTGTCAACCAGCCCTAAAATATCAATTTCATCACCCACCATGTTTTTAGGTATAAAATGTTATATAATTCAGGCTATGAATTATATATGACCAAACCCTTCTGTAAAAGCCTTCATAATATTGATAGGAATATAACTGG